GAATGCCTTCAAGGCATGACTGGCTGTCTTGTGTTGTGGGGATCGAACCAAAGCAACCGGAGCCTGACTGCTTTGTTGAAGCAGCCACTTAAAGAACTGAGCTACGGGGCAGGCCCCCCTTCTAATAAATTCTTGAGGAACCTAATATCTCTCTTCCAGTGTTTTCTATTTCTCAGAGTCACTCATGGGTTTTATTTTCTTAAATTCCTTGTTCATTTGTTTTTGTTTTTTAGACAGGATAATTCAGGCTAGCCTTGAACTCCAAGTGATTTTCCTGCCTCAGCCTCCCAAGTGCTGAGGTTACAGGCATGCACCACATCCAGTTCCTTTCCCTAAATTCTGTACTACTTTTTTTTTTAAATGTATTTAGTACAGGGTCTACAGGATTTTACTACATAGATTAGACTCGTAGTGATTCTCCTGTTTTCAGCTTCCCAAGTGCTGGGATTACAGGTGTGCACCATTCCACCCAGTCTCAATTGCTGCTGTCGCAGCATGCCCCATGAACAGGGCCAGCATGGTAGGGATAGAACCCCTGCTGCTGTGCTCTACCTAAGCAGGCACTTTAGTCTGCTGAGCTATCTGGCTCTACTACTTTTCTTTTTTTCTTTCTTTCTTTTTTTTTTTTTATAAAGACAGATGAACACATTCATTGGAGAGGTCATGTAGTTTATTTTTAAGTGTTATTGGTGGGGCTGGGGAGATAGCTCAGTGGCATAAGCTCCTGCTTGGCAAGCTGTAGGTCCTGAGTTCATTCCCTGGTACAACAATAACAAAAAAAAAAAGTGTTATGGGTTTCCTAAGTTTTGATTTCTCTGAAAAAATATACTAGTCTTAAAATTGATAAAGATGATAGTTACATTTTTAATTTTTAAAATAAAACAATAGAGCTTTATGTCATAGTATACACCTGTAACCTCTCCACTTGAGTCTGGGCAGGATGTTCACAAATTCAAGCCTACCTGAAGCACACAGGAAAATCATGGTTTTTTCATGACGCCAAAAAAGAAGTGGGAAGTACCAAAGAAATGAAATCCCGTGTCATTCATAATATAAATGCATGCCAGTTTTTCAGGTTGTGTGAACTTCTACAAAAACTGAGTTAGCCAGCTATGCCAATGCATGCTTGTAATCTTAGCACTCATGAGGCTGAGGCACGATGATCATCTTGAGTTCAGTGTCAGCCAGGACTACCTAGTAAAACTTGTCTCTAAAAAAAATGCTGAGTTAGTTGGTAGAATTTTCAAAATAAGTCATTGGAGGGAGTGAGTATTAAGCAGAGATTTGAAATACTAAGTAGTGTCAGTTGGGAGAGAGGAGATGACAGGTTATTCCAGAGGATTCATTTAGGAGATTAATTACTGTATTCTTTCCATTACAGTGAGAATTTCCAATTTGATGCGAGTATTAGGAACAGAAGCTGTTCAAGACCCCACGAAGGTAGAAGCCCATGTCAGAGCTCAGATGGCCAAAAGACAGAAGTAAGTGCCATGGGATTGGGTGGAAACCCAGGGCAAGTGCCTTTTCCAGCCTCTTCTGGGGATCCATATTGGGAGGGGAGGGGAGAGTCCTCCGTTGCTCTCTCTTTCCCTTAGCCCTGCCTCTGATCTTCAATGCCTTTCTCACTTGTGGATGTCCTTCCTGTCACGACAGAGCTCATGAAGAGGCCAACGCTGCCAGAAAACTTACAGCAGAACAGAGAAAGGTCAAGAAAATTAAAAAGCTTAAAGAAGACATTTCACAGGGGGTACACATTTCTGTATATAGGTAGGTGTCCATACCAGGCCAGCCTTCCCCTTAGAAATATTGAAATACTTCCCAGATGCTTAAAGCAGAATCATCACGGCCTAAAGTATACCCAGCACGAGTCCTTCTTTTTGCTTAATGACCTTAGTGTGACGTAAAAGCAAGTAAGTTTTTTCTGAAGGTGGGAGTTATTTTTACGGTGAGCTGATTCATCTCACGTTTTATTAAACATTATTTATTCTGCAGAATAGACATGTTTGGGCCAAGTTATTAGGCTTGCTTGTCCTTTGTGAAGTATAGAATATCATCCTAGAAGGCATTAAGATTTTCTTTCCTCAGTAATCAAGTCTTCTTTTATTTATTTTTTAATTATTTATTTATTTTTATTTATTACATTTTTATTTATTGTGTGTGTGTGTGGCCAGCTCAGCCCACCCGGGG